TAAAAATTTTACACAAGTTGGCAGCAATTTTTGCCTTTTTTAGTTGTATGTATTTCATAGGGCTGATATTCACTTAAAAATCAGGAGTATAGTTAGAAAATTAGAAAGATTTTATGCTTTAGTATGCTTGATTGAGCCATTATTTCTTGCTCTCGCATCTACAGCGTAAACTCTTTATTGACACAGCACTAAACTTCCATTCATTTATTTGATAAATGGAGCACACTAAGTTCTTGTTAGTCAGCTTTTTGTCACTGTGACCAAAATAACTGAAAAGGACAACTTTAAAGAGGAAAAATTCACATGGAGCTCATGGTTTCAGAGGCTGAGTCCACGTTTGGCTGACACCATTGCTCTGGGCCTGAGGTGAGGCAGTACATCATGGCGGAAGGGCATGACTGAGGAAAGCTGCTCAGATCATAGCAGCCAGGAAGCAGACAGAAAAAGAGAGGAATAGGCCAAGTATAGATATAGTCCAGGCCATGCCCCCATGAGCTACTTCTCCCAGCCACGCCCCACCTGCCTACAGTTACCATCCAGTAGCTCACTTAAATTATCAATCCATCAACTGGATTAATTCAACGATGAGATTGCAGCTCTCATAATCTAATCATTTCACCTCTGAACATTGCTGCATTGCCTGACATATGGGCTTTTGGGGGACATTGCTAGATCCAAAACATAACAGATCTGAACTCAAATAGCAGAATATAAGGACATATTAAATAGGAATATAATAAATGGTACAAACAAGGGAATCCAGAAAAGAAATGCATTATTTCTGGCTGAGATGATAAATTAAGTTTTCTTGCACTAGATCTATTTTTTTCTGTGTTTTAAGAGATTGTTGTTAGGGGGCTGGGGTTGTGGCTCAGTGGTAGAGTGCTTGCCTAGGATGCATGGGGCACTGAGTTCCATCCTCAGCACCCCATAAAGATAAAATAAAGATATTGTGTCCACCTAAAATTAAAAGTAAATAATTTTTTTTTAAAAAGAGATTGTTGTAATCCTGAAATGAGAACTGCTGAAGAATCCTGTGTGGAGCTCCAGAGCACCCCTTTCATCCTGAACTCTGTTCTTTTCTAGGTTCCAGGTCACCACTCCCTAGATCTTGCACTTCTTTGTCAATTTTTCCTCAGTCTTCTTTACTGACTCTTCCTTTTTGTCAACCCTTTAAATGTTTTTAGGTCCTAAGATTTATTATGTTCTCAACTCTGGCAGCTCATAATAATTAATTACTTATGAAAATTTTTTAAAAGATGCTAAGGCCCTACTTGACCTACTGAACCACACTCAGAAAATTAGGCCCAAGTAATTCTATTTGTGAAGCATTACATGTGATTGTGATATGTAGCAGGAGATGACAGCTTTCATTATATATATTAAATATGTATGATTTCATTCACCACTGGGGCTCCAAGTGCCGTCTACATGATATTGACTCCAGAATTTCTATCTCAAAGCATAACCTTCATTCCCAGTTCCAGATCCACATTCCTAGCTGCTTTTAGACATCTCCTGGTCATGGCACTAGAGACATTTCAAATTCCATCAACAAACAAGATTAGAATGATCCCTGGGAATGTTGTCCCTACAGAAAAAGAACTACATAGTAAGGTGAATGGCTATCTGTCCTAACACATAGTTTTAAGGCTATATAAAATAGGGATTAGATCTTGATTCTCTAATGCTTTTTAAAAAATATGTTGCGGTTAGATCCCTTTAAAATGCATGAAAACCCACAGATTTCCTAATTGGTTCTTGTAAAATGACATGCCATTTTTGCGGTTTGAAAGGAAATAGTTTCCAGTTGGAGAATTTGTTTATTGAAAGTGGGGAAGAGAAATCCTTCAAGATGTCCAATGAATGACTCCTTTAAGACTAATGTCCTGAAACACACTGAGCAGCTCCACAGCACAGGATTCATAAAAAATATTATTTTGTAGAAACCAAGAGGATTCCTTGGGAAATCATGCTTTTTTTGGCACCAACTAATAGAAGTATTTTCATGGGCTAGTTAACAAAGATAATTGGAATATGTGAATGTGAATGTGTATGTGTGTGTGTGTGTGTGTGTGTGTGTGTGTGTATAATCTTACATGTATATTCATGATTATATGAAAGATTATACACACAATAAATGGTATTTAAAAGCCCAAACATTGTTATTTGCTATAGAGGAAAGATTATACATGTACGCATATACTTATATATATACCTACACACGTACGTATATAATGCACACATACACAACTATATCTCCACCTTGAGCAAAACTATGAGGAGGCGTTAAATCAGAGCAGGTTTATTGACAAAAGTGCAATCTGAGGGTGGGAAGGGATCCCTGACCATGGGGCACACATCCCCTCTGTTGTATTTATTTCACCTGGTGCCATTCCACTTGATCCATAGTAACTTATTGAGAGGCAGATTCCATTTTCTAAGGTGGCAGAAAAGGATCCGAACTTGCTGACAGCCATATTCTCTTTCCGTGATACTTCTAAAAGGCAAAATAAAATGAAGGACATTTTCATTTTATTCAAGAAATGTAAGCAAAACACAGCAGGAAGCCTGGGGATAGAGGTCTTAACTATTCTACCACAGTCAGCTTAAAAATAGTTGGGATAGCCCCTACCTTGTACTAAGGATGTCAGAGGAAAGCAAGGTTATGAGGATGAGAACAGGAGACTCTCGTTTTAAGGACTCTAGGTTGAAATGAAAAGAGAATATAAACTGATGAATGGCATAGCCATAAGAATTTTATTGATCTGAATTTTATTGATCCAGGGAAATCTCTGTAATTTCTGCTCAATTTTGCTATGAACTGAAAACTCTTCTTTAAAAAAAAATGTATATTTTAAAAAGATCATGCTTAGTGTCAATCAGGGTACAGGGAAATAGGTATTTGCATATAGCATTAATAAGATGTATTGGTAGAGACCTGAGGACAAGTGCTTTAAAACAAACCATTTCAGAGAACTAAGGGAAAGAGAGAGGAATATTGGTCATTAAAAAAAAATGAACAGAACACATACGCAGTAAAATATAAATTATGGAAGTAGTAAATATTTGAATTTTTTTAAACACATGAGGATATTTTTAGAAGCATTTTTTGGAATTTAAAACATGCTGCCCCAATCAAACCATTCAGTGTTTGGTAGATGAGTTGAAGGGGAGGATGGTCAATTTTGAGAATCAACCGAGTTTCTTAGGAAATTGAGTGAAAAGAGTATCTGAGAGCCCAGAACGACCATTTAGACAGAAGGAAGTCGTGAAGAAGACATAGGTGTCATAGAGGATGAATTTTTGCAAATTGTGCATTAGGAAAGGAAAACGGGAACAAAGGAAGGAGAAAGCAATTAAATTAAAAACCAAAGAACACTGCCCTGGCCTGCAGCAGGAGCTTGATTCTCAGGTTACAAGGACTATCAAATTCTAATCCAGAAGTGACAAGACAGCGCAGGAGCAACCCAGAATGATAAGGAGAGAAGAATGAGAATCCCTGTGAGCATCCAAGATATCACTGGAGATGCCCAGGGAGAAAGAGGCATTGAGAGGGATGCTCCTGCGTGCCTTCTGAGGAAAAGACCAAACAATAAATAAATAAAAACCAAACAATAACTAAACCTTTATAAAATGAAAAAGAAGAAAGCAAGCAGTGGTGAGCAATTGCCACTATTCTTCATCCGCCCACCCCCATGTTCCACCCTTTCTACTGTTGGACAGTTTCATCTAGATTAGACAGCAACAAATTTTTTTTCTGAAAATGGCCAGACAGTAAATATTTTAGATTTTGTGGGCTACACAGAGTCTTTATCACACATTCTTTCCTTTTTTGGTATGTTCTTTTTTTGGGGGTGGGTTTGGGGGTAGGGGTATTGAAGATTGAACCCAGCAGCTCTTAACCACTGAGACATATCCCCAGCCCTTTTCATTTTTTATTTCAAGACAGGGTCTCACTAAGTTGCTTAGGGTCTTGCTAAATTGCTGAGGCTGGCTTTGAATTTGAGATCCTCCTGCCTCAGCCCCCTGAGCTACGGGGATTACAGGCATACACCAGCACACCTGGCTCTGTACATTCATTTTTGTAACAACACTTTACAAATGTAGAAACCATTCTTAGTTCATAGGCCATATAAAAACAGATTGTGGGTCAAATATGGGCCAAAGACTCTAGAAAAGAATTAAAGCTTTTTTTTTTTTGAAGTGCAAAAAGATAATCTCAGAATGGAATGTTTAATATTAGAACTAAAAATTGGATATTATTTAAGTACGCAAAAAATGATTAAATTTATATGAATGCATGTACAAATATATTTATTTATTTTGATAGAAATCTGATGATATGTAAAATATGAAAATGCTTAAATAAACTATATGTGTATACCAAGGAAATATTATTAAATCATTAAAGAATCTTGTTTTCAAAGACTATTCAGTGAATAGGAAAATGCTCATGATGATAATGAGAAATACATTATGAACAGTGGCTATCCCTGTGGTGGCAGAATTATACACAACTCTCATCAACATATTTTATATCAGCTAAAACAAAGGAAAATAATTTTTAAAATTCTCTGCCCAATTCCTGGGTACATTCATACTTGTCAAACATTGTGTTCTTATCTTGGGTTTAGAAAATGTCATTATAAGAAAACTTAAAAGTAAGATTTAGTAACTGATACCATCACTAATTGGACTTGAAAACATTTTAATAATTAATTTGTCTCCTTTTCCAGGTATGATCCACGTTACTTTGGAAAAGAAGTGATCAATTTCCCCAGGTGGGGCAGCCTGGAGATGTTAAATGGTGCAACCAGGAAGTTTCATGATGTTTAGTTAGTGAATATCCACCTGTACCTCTCATTCCAAGTACATAATGACTCTCATGACTAAATTTGATTTTTCCCTTGTCCTTGAAACTTAGGAAATTTGGTAGTATTAGAGAGAACTAAGTGATAGAACATAAAAAGCAACTCCATTGTTTCCAGTGAATCCTGGAGAGAAGGCAACTTCAGTAGAAGTCAATTAGTGACGACCTGAGTCCTAGAGACTGCACTTGCTACAGGTGCACAAACCAAAATTAAGGACAGAATGGGTAAAGTAGCCAGCCTGGGTAGATGCTGCAGGAGAACTGGATCAAGAGCTGGCTTTGCTAAGGCAGGGCAATCTAATAAGAAGCCCAGTGTAGGCAGGCTGTGTGTGCAAGTGTTGAGAGCCATCTGAGGACTTCACTGCACACCACAGCCTAGTAAATTGGATAAACTGGTGTCTGGGAACTTCCAGTGGTCATTTCTTCTGGTTGGTGGCAGAGAGACATTGTGAGCCCTGTTCTGCTCAGCCTATTCCACACAGCACCAAGATGGAGTGACCTGCTACAACCACTAGCCACACAGCCCTCTGAGGTGTGTGACCTGCCAAGATGCCCATTAACCTGCTGACTGCAATACATCACGAAGCAAGACTCCACCCTTGAAAGCTTATCCCCTGCCTTTGATGTACCTCCTTAAATAAACCAGGTTCTACTTGTTAAGCTCTAGCTCCTGTGTGGACAGCCCTCTATCAGGGGCTCTAACTTTTGAAACTATACTTTCTGACTCTTGGACTTTTGTTCTTCACTAATTATTCTAGACTTTAATTTTGCAGGAGGCTTAACCCTCTGAGCAGGAAAGAATTCCCTGGCGAGGTGCTGGCCATCCCACAATATACAATGAATATACACATCACATCAGGGGAAAATGTATATCAACAGAATGGCAAGACACCTTAGATGTTATCTGGTAATGCTGTGTGTTTCGATCAGGGGGTCTCAAGGATCAACTTGCACTGTTACAAAGATGGCACGGCTTACTTGTTCCCAAACTTTGTTCCTCATCTTTCTCATCTTTCTCTTCTTCTGAAAAATGATCCTCTTCTTGCTTTTGCTCTTTTTGAATTTCCTTCGGGTCTTTTAAATGGATTATAAAATTGTGCTTGTCCTTTATCACTTTCACTTTGATAAAAGTTGGGCCTAAGGAAGAACCACAGGACAGATTTAGGATGCCACACGAAGCTCCTTGACAAGAGGTTCAACCAGGGAGTGGAAACACCTGGGGACATGGAAGTAAGAAGATGCCTAAAGGAGATCACTTCTCATATCAAATTAGAGAACAAAAACTAAGTTGGCCGAAAAAATGGATGCCTATAATGGACTTTAGGATCCATCAAATGAGGTAATTAATATGAAATGGTATTGTACCTTACAAAAGTTATGAGTGTTAGTAATAGTTGCTGTTTTATAGTAGTTATAAGAATTCTCCCAACCACCCATTCTCTCTTGGTGTTCTGATTCATTTATCTTCATCTCTCTGTTTTTTTTTTCTTTTGTAATCCAGCCTTTCTTTTCAACTTTGATTGAGCCATCTCTCAAAATTGGTAGAGTTAGGATGAAAATATTGTATTCACTGTGAACCATCTGGTATTTTTATGCATTGTATAAATATGCAAATTTTAGTAAGAGCTAAAGGATCAGCACCAGACCCCCAAGCTCTGTGTTCCACAGCCCAGACCAGAAAAATGCTGTGAATTCACAATATGTGCTTGGTTTCTGAGAAAAAAAAAGTGTGCTGTAATTAATATTATTAATCACCTATTTGCTTACTGCAGTGACTAATATACTATTTACTAATCATGTGGAAATATTTTAATATTCTAACAAGCAGGAATGGTCATATCAATGTATCTGAGCCAAATTCTTGGCTGGCCTATGCCTTGCAGAATCAATTATGATGGAAGAATGTAACATCTGAAAATGTGGAATGCGGTGCACTCATGAACTACAACAGATATGTCAACACTTTCTCCCATCACACTCAGAGGTGCAAGCCCATGATTGTTTGAAATGAATTAACATCTTTCAAGCCATTAACCATCTGCTTTCAAAATGTACCTTTTTCAAACACTGTCTTTTCTACTTCAATCTGTCCTCCATCAGAAGGATATAGATAGCAGTTTGTCCCTGATATTTGGACAGGTATATCTCCCATATTGTATCCATGAAACTAGAAAAGAAAACATCACGGTTTGAGTGTAGAACTGCAATTGATTGACAACACACCTTATCCGTGTTAGCCCACTAAAGTTGCCATAAGCTTAACTTCTGCTAAACAACATGTTTGTCACTCTGTAGACTCAGAGGCCAGGGTCCATACACTCTTTAGAAACTTGCATGGTGTTATAATGACAGGTGAATTAAAAGAAAGCTGTGGTTTTAAACTGTGTCCACTGGAGCATTATCATCACCTAGTCCTGATCAAATCACTTTACTCTTGCCAGTGCAGTATGAGCAGAAATCTAGTCCTCATTCCCTGGTTAATTTTCTGTTTAAAGTGGACTGATTTTCTGAGAAATATTAACATTTAACACTTTAGAAGGTCAGGTGCCTAAGATATTTTTAATTAAATGTTGTCACTAAAGCTCCAGGTGATTCTGATACATGCTAAAAATCGGAGACTAATTGGTTTAGAATAAAATCTACAAATGACAGAGGCTGTTACATTTTTTTACCTTTTTTTTTCTCACCAGGTTTTCTGAATAAATAGCCACTTAAAGGAGAGTTAGCAAGGAGAAGGTTTTGTAAAAGCCTATAAGCCAGAACAATGGGTGCCTGCAGAGAGGTAACTAACTGTATGTGCTCAGAAAGTCCTCTCCTTGGAGACAAAGTCAGCTTTTATGTGGCCCCATCCTAGTTGCTTATTTGCATATACCTAGATAGACACTCTGTGTCAGATTGCCATCTTTACTGCCCTTATTAATCTAGCTTCATGATACTCAAGAAAAACTGGCAGCCCCAGGGTCTTCCTATCTTGGTGACGGCCGTAAAGAAGGTTCTAGATATAAGAAGGTGAAATACAGGTTTATGAAAGAAACCTTGCCCTAGAACAATTAGAAATACTCTAAACAGACTTCGTAGAAAATTGATTTTACTTAGTGGTGTGTGCCTACAATCCGAGCCACTCAGGGGGCTGAGGCAGAAGGATTGCAAGTTCAAGGCCAGCCTAGGCAATTTAGTGAGACCTCATCTCAAAATTGAAAATAAAATAAAATAAAATAAAAAGATCTGGGGGTGTTGCTTAGTGATAGAGTGTCCCTGGGTTCAATCCCCAGGACTGCCAGAAAAAATAAAAATAAAAAAGAGATCGAGAAAATTGATTTTACCGGGTAAACTCTTTCAGGTTCTGGCTCCTGGATGGGCTCCTCTGGTTCTTGTATGACACTTGTTTTTCCTTCTTTAACTTTGTCCTTGAGAGATGGTTGTTTCTTCAAAGACTTACTACTTTCATCCTTCTCTAATTTTTCCTTGCCTTTCTTTTTACCGGTGGCTTCTTTACTCTTCTTTTCTGCTTTCTTTTCTTCCTTTAAGCGCTCCTCTTCTGCTAATCGATCTTGTTCTTCTTTCCATGCCTGAAAATATGTATTTTTTAAAAATGTAACAGAATTTTTGAGACAAATGTAATATGGGTTATATTAGGGTTCATTTTGGAGAAAACTCAGCATCAATTTTGTAAGTCATGGCACTAACCAATCAAACCATTGAGCTAGACACCTTGAAGTTATCCTTGATTCTATTTTCTATTTGCACTTGACTTCTGTAATACTAACTCCTGTAAATTCTCCTCAGAGCTCTCTCTTCATGTCACCTTGTTCTCTCATCCTCTGTCATAATTTCCTTATTTCAGATCGGTACTATCTTTAGCCTGGACTGTTGCAGTAGCCTCTTAGCTGGTCTTCCCATCTCCTATTCTTTGCCACATGAGACCAAATTCTCCATTTAGGTCCTAAAGAGAGTTCATCCGCCACTTGGCAGTCTCGATGTTCTTCTGACACACAATATTTGAAAAGCAACTGATACAACAATTTAAAAAGCATTGTAAGGCATATTGAGGCTGCCAGAAAAGTGAAGGACATGAACAAGCCCTCATTCAGTGAGGTAGGTGAGAAATGAAGACAAGTTTTCCCATCCCAACAGCCTAAAACTTGGGTTTTAATGGGTCTTGGAGACTAGAGACAAAATCTGGAAGATCAGATCAGAGATCTCTAGATAAAGCTGGTATTTAAAAAGTATCTATCACCTTCACTGGGTGAACTAGAAGAATTACTAGAAGACTGTGAGAAATTCTAGCCTGCCTCCTTGGCCCCAGGATTAAGCAGGGGTCGGGTGGGAGTCTAATTCTTAGAGAACTCCTGTCCATGAGCCTGTCCTCACAGATTGGTGGCCAAAGTGTAGATTGCCATAACACTTCATTTTTTAAAAAAGTCGATTATGAGCTCACAAAGGAAAATCACAAAACATGAGGAAATAAGCCACTTTGGGTTTGATGAGTCTGAAGAAACAAGCTGTGAAAGTGTAGTGCACATACAAAGACTGCCCACACTAGAATTGTAAGAGAATATAAGTTTTTAGTATGCTTAAATTAATAACAAAAGTGTAAAAAGTAAAGTAAGAAAGGGAGCATCGAAGATGGCAAGCTGAGTGTGCCAGTGTCTCTTAGAAATAGAGCTTTGGAGGAGGTAGTCTCTGAACAGAGAGTGGCTGAGGGGCTTCAGAATAGATGAAAGACATTCATCTTGACATTCAGGAAGGTCAATGAATCAAAAGCAGGAAATAACAGTGGTGGGCTCAACCTGGCTCATATTGACTTGAAAGATTTTGCTGTTACATTTTTAGGAACTTTGTGAGTCAGTTTCACCATAGCCATCATCAAAAAATAAATTACAGAAATGCACAGTTAACTTAAAAGAGCAAAGGTCATAAATACTCAAAGCTCACCTCTTCATAATATATATATATATTTTACATTTCTCTATTATCTATGCTTTCAAGGTCATTTATGTCACTGGCATCTGTCTGTATCATGAAACACTATACTGTACGTGATGTGCTACTCCATTGGGCTCAGCATTCAGTGAAGCCCTATTGGTAGCCCCTGTGGGGATATTTACACTATAGATATCAGCAAATGCTACAAATTAAGGATTGATTGATTATCTATATTGAAGAAAATGAGGAGAGAATGTAGATTAAACTTAAAAGCACGTTGTACCTGTAGCTATTATAGTATAACAAGCACAAAAATTTGAGAAAATAGTCTTCTATTATTCTAAACTATTACTTGATTCACAAGAGGTTGCTTGCATCCTGTTATTAACAAATGAGTGAGATACGCCCCTTTGTCATTTCATTTTTGTCTTGTTAACCTAAATGAAGCTATTAATCAACATTCATACTGGAATTATACTTGCTTGTCATTTGTAACCATAGGCTAGCTAAGGATACAAGAATTTAAGAAAAATCAATGAAAGTGTTCTAGAAGAATCAACTGGCTATACTGGATTTACAATAGAATATGGAAGGATTTATTACTGGTAAATTGTGTGCTTTATATACAACGTAACAGTAACATGTACAATAAGCTTATATATTCACAAAAAGGCACACTTTTGTTTTTCTAGAGAGTGACTGTTAAACATTTGCCAGCATACCAATATAACTGTTTTCAAAGCAGCTAGACAGAAAAGATGCACTGTTTATAGAAGAATGTCAAATTAAATCAAAATCAATTTATTAAGAGCCACAAAGTCAGCAAGGAAAATGTGGAACAATATCTTCAAAGTGTTAACAATATCTTGTAGAAAGAAAGTCGCCCAGAATTTTGTAAATGAAAACTACATTTAATGAATAGGGTCAAAATAAAGCCATTTTCCCCCAGATAAGTGAAAGCTGAGTTTAATAGAAAATGTGATATTATGATATAATAAGAAACAGATATTGGTTCTTCAATCCTGGATCTTGGTGTCAAGCTTTAAATCCCTGTGTATTTTGGGAGTGTTAGGAGCATCTTTTATTCTAATGAGGCAACTCTTGGTGAACTCTTGGATAATTTCAGGACTGGGTGGGAGCTGGTCACCAAAAAGATCAGATCCTGGTTAAAAGCTTAGAATGTTCACATCTCCTCTTTTGACCTTCAGGGAAGAGAGATAAGCTGAAATTTGAGTTAATGATCGATCATGCGTACATGAGAAAACTTCCTTGCAAAGCCCTAAACCACAGGGCATCGGGGTCTTCTGAGCTGGTGAATATATGGCCATGCCAGGAGGGTGACATACTACAGTTCTAGAAGGACAGAGCCCAAACTGAACCAAACCTAACCTATAAACAAACAAAAATCCTCAGTATATTCATGCAAATGCGCTTGCAGAGCATAGAACACACCCAAACTTCCTTATCTCAGGGGCTTGTGATATAAGTCAAGGTACTTTTGAATTATTGCAAAAGCCTATATGACTTATGTAATCAAAAATCACACAAGTAATTTAGAGCTCATAAACAAATTTAGCAAAGTAGCAGAATATAAAATTAATACCCATAAATAAATTGCAGTCCTATACACCAATGAATCAGCTGAAAGAGAAACTAGGAAAACTAACCCATTCACAATAGCCTCAAAAAAAAAAAAGATAAAATACTTGGGAATCAATAAAATAAAAATATTAAAGCAAAAAACAAACACCTTCAACAACAACAAAAAAAAGAGTATACTGACTACAATCAAGGCACTGCCCTGGATTGTGATTATACAAAAATAAAGGTGACACAGATTCTCTGAAATGCTCCTCTGCTGGAGGAGACAGTGGTGGAGAGACAATCCTTTCATTCCAATTTTAATTATTTTTGAGGGTTTAGCAACAGGTATCATTTTGTATAACTTCACACTAACTCTCCACCACAGGATACTTTGGGATTGGTGATTAATTAGTGTTGCTTATCTTTGTTTAGATTACCTTGAGAGAACCTTCTAAAATGAAAGGAATCTTTTCCTTCTCTTTCTCTTTCTCTTTTTCCTTTTCTTTTTCCTTTTCCTTTTCTTTTTCCTTTTCCTTTTCCTTTTCTTGATCTAGTATCTCTGTTTTGCTGAGCATTTTGTTACCTATAATTAGAGAAAAAGTAAACTTTTTAGTAAATCCCTTAAATAATCATAGAAGACAAGTCTCTGGGTTGGAGGTGATCTCTGATGTCATCCAATTCAACTCTCCATTCATTCATCTCTATACTCTTTCTTGCCATCTTCAGGAAGGGACATCTGAAGTGGTACAGAAATACCTGGGTGATAGGGTTAAAGGAGGTTGCAACAGATTAGTTCAACATATGGGATCCAATAATCATAATTCATCACATCAATAGACTTAAATACAGGAATCACATGAAAAAACACAAGATGAAGAATAAGCATTTGACAAAATTCAGCATCCATGCAAGCTCAAAACATTAGAAAAACTAGGGATAGTAGGAACACACCTCAATATTGTAAAGATTATATATGCTAAACCCCAGGCCAACATCATTCTACATGGAGAAAAATTGAAAACATTTCTTCTAAAAACTGGAAAACCCACCTGTTTTCCACTTTTTGCCCATCCCATAAAGCATTTCCTAGGCCATCACATATGCAGAAAGGAGAGAGATAAGGGGAAGAGGGCAGAAAAACTTTTATTCAACATAGTTCTTGAATCCCTAGCCAGAGCAATTAGACAAAAGAAAGAAATTAAAGAGATACTTATAAGAAAAGAAGAGCTCAAACTATCCCTATTTGCTGACAACATGATTCTATATTTGGAAGACACAAAAAACTCCACCAGAAAACTTCTAGAACTCATAAACAAATTTAGCAAAATAGCAGGATATAAAATTAATACCCATAAATAAGTTGCATTCCTTTACACCAATGAATCAGCAGAAAGAAAAACCAAGAAAACTAACCCATTCACAATAGCCTCACACACACACACACAAAAAGATAAAATACAAAATACTTGGGAATCAATCTAACAAAAGAGATGAAAGACCTCTACAATGAAAAAATACAGAATACTAAAGAAAGAAATTGAAAAAGGCCTTAGAAGATGGAAAGATCTCCCATTGAAGCCAGAATTAGGCAGTCAGCATAGATAGGTAAATCAAGTCAGGGCCAATCCAGGAGGCTAATTTTGAGTGAGTCTGCGAAGTTGGAGACTGTCCCCTGAAGGACTGAAATGTTAATTCCTTCAGAGCCCTTCCTCTACCCTTACCAAGAACCTGCCCCTGCTCCAACCTGTTGCCAAGGAAACCTGTCCCAGGAATTGCCCCTCCCTACAGGGAGCTATAAGGTTGTTAATGTGTCCTGGGCTGCACCATCCTGCCCTCCCCCCTTCAGCCCACCTATTTTCCACTTTTTGGCCATCCTATAAAGCATTTCCTAGGCCTAGTCACGTAGGCAAGAAAGGAGAGAGATAAGGGGAAGAGGGCAGAACAAAGAAAGCCCAGGATTTATAAAGGGCAGAACACCTCACGACTTGGGATACCAGGATACCAGCTATGGCCCCCTTCTCCCTCCCAGGAGAAGTCTATGTTACCCCTTTTTAAATAAACCCTGCTTTATATGCTTGCCTTGGTGTGCTTCTCTAATGTTATACTTCAATGTGTGAGGAAGCAGAACTTTACACCAGATAACCAGCGTTATCACCATGTTCTTGGATAGGAAGAATTAATATTGTCAAAATGGCCAACTACCAAAAGTGCTATACAGATTTAATGCAATTCCTATTAAAATTCCAATGATGTTCTTCATAAAAGTAGAAAAAGCAGTCATGGAATTCATTTGGAAAAATGAGGCCCAGAATAGCCAAAGCAATCCTTAGCCAGAAAAGTGATGGAAGAGGCATCACAATACCAGACATTAAATCATACTACAGAACTATAATGATAAAACAGCATGGCATTGGCACAAAAACAGACATGAAGACCAATGATACAGAATAGAAGACACAGAGACATACCCACATAAGCATAGTTATCTCATACTAGACAAAAGCTCCATAAACATACATTGGAGTAAAGATAGCCTCTTCAACTAATGGTGCTGGGAAAAATATGTAGTAGAATGATACACCCTGCACAAAACTGAACTCAAAGTGGATCAAAGACTTAAGCATTATACGAGAGACCCTGTGCCAAACAGAAGAAAAAGTAGGCCAAATTCTCCATGATGTCAAATTAAGAACTGACTTCCTCAATAAGACTCCGAAAGCACAAGACGTAAAATCAAGACTCAATCAACGAGATGGTGTCAAACTAAAAAGCTTCCTCTCAGCAGAGGAAATAATCAAGAACTTGAAAAGAGAGCCTACAGACTGGGGGAAAATCTTTGCCACCTGCACCTCAGATAGAACATTAATCTCCAGGATATACAGAGAACTAAAAAACTTAACACCAAAAAATCAAATATCTCAATCAATAAATGGACAAAGGAAGTGAACAGGCACTTCACAGAAGAAGAAATATGAATGGTCAAAAAATATAAAAAAATGTTCGACATCACTAACAATTAGAGAAATGCAAATTAAAACTACATGAAGATTCCATCTCACTCCAGTCAGAATGGCAATCATCAAGAATATAAGTAACAATAAGTATTGACCAGGATGTCGGGGAAAAAGTATATTCATACTTCGCTGGTGAGAATGCAAATTGGTGCAACCATGATGAAAAGTAGTATGGTGGTTCCTTAGAAAACTTGGAATGGGACCACCATTTGACCCAGCTATCCTATCCCACTCCTTGGTTTATACACTAAGGACTTAAAATCAGAACACTACAGTGATGCAGCCACATCAATGTTTATAGCAGCTCAATTCATAATACCTGAGGTATGGAACCAACCTAGGTGCCCGTCAACAGATGAATGGATAAAGAGAATGTATATATACACAATGGAATATTACTCAGACATAAAAAAGAATGAGATCATGACATTTGACAGTAAATGGTTGGAACTGGAGACTGTCATACTAAATGAAATAAGCCAATCCCAAAAAATCAAAGGCTGAGTGTTCTCTCTGATATGTGGATGGTAAAGCACAACAAGGGAGGAGGAGGGAAGGACAGAAGTTCACTAGATCAGACAAAGGGGAATGAAGGGAATGGAGGGACGGGAATAGGATAGACAGTAGAATGAATTGGGCATAACTGTCCTATGTTCATATGTAAGTACAGAACCAGTGTAACTCCACACCACGTACCACCACAAGAATGGGATCCTAATTAGAATAAGTTACACACCACATGTCTATGTCAAAATGCACTCTACTCTCATGTATATCTTAAAAGAACAAATAAAAAAATTTTAAAAAGAAGTTACAACTTTTTTGAAAATTATATAGCATTTTTTTTTTGCTTCTTTGTGAGAAATAATTCTCAACTTTGGCTCTCATAAATAATTAATACTTTTAATAGGAAGTTCATTTTTTTTTGCACAAATT